AATAATAATAATATAATATATATATATATATATATATATATATATATATATATATATATATATATATATATAATCGTATATATAATCGTATTATCATAGGCATTATATATATAATACGTAGAGATAAGTTGTGATGTCGTCCAAGTTTATATCACTATTAAATATTCACCATATAGTTCATAGACATATATATTAGTATGTTGTCATTATATAGTAATATGTTGTCTATTATTTAATAATATGTTGTCAATAATTATCACATATACATTAATTTTTAACAAGATTTATAAGTAGTGTAAATTCTTTTGAGTGATTTCAGGCTACTTTGGAAAGATATTTATTGAAAAATGGCAAAGAAGGACAGCTCTATGTTCGTAATGATCAGCTTTGTACATCATTAGCTGGTAATACGGTGTCACTCGTTACGGTGACGGGTAGTGGTACTAGGGAACAACTGATTGGTCGTCAGATCATATTGTTGTGTGCCAGAGTACATCCTGGAGAAAATAACACTAGTTGGATTATGCATGGTATACTTTTTGTATATCTGTAAATGTAAGTTACTTTAAACCAGAAGTTAGAAGGATCCAAATGGAAGTTAGCGAAATAAATTGGATTGTATAGAAAATGGTTTGAAATGAGCATCCTTGTAGATTCCACCAAAATGATAAGTAACCTATTCTCTTATTAGAAGTAAGAAGTTTACTAGAAGTAATTTGAGAAAAAGTAAGCTTGCTGGTAGTAATTTGTTTTTTTCATTCTTTACTCTTTTCTTTTTTTTTTTTTTTTTGAATAGTTACAATAATGGATAAGCCTGTTGCTAAGGAACTAACAACTACGAAAAATTCAGTTGAAATTTGAATTTATAATATAATCGGTCAAAATGATTTCAGCTTTTGTATCCGAATGGACTACCATATTTTACCTTATAGACATGAATAACACTGGCGTTTAAAGATCCCTTTACAAATATCAGATTTTGTCGTAGTTCATGGTGAACTTTAATTAAATCGAATTTTTGTAATATATCGAAGTTTTAAAGGTATAATGGATTTCTTGATGAGTGATAAGGAAGAAGCTGTGGAACTCCGTGATCAATTCGTATTTAAATTAATTCCAATGTTAAATGTCGATGGTGTGATAAACGGTTCACATCGTTGCAGCTTGGCTGGCGTAGATTTAAATCGAACGTGGGATCAGCCTTCACAAGTATTGCATCCTGTTATTTATCATAGCAAAGCTATTGTGCAATATATAGTAGGTTTTCTTTTCCTTATACATGGTCTTACTCGTAATTGCATATGGAACTTGTTTGTAGGATTCGCTAACCGTTCTCATGCCAGATTCTTGAATAATTCATAAACGCTATTTTTTGAAACAATATTTTAACTTTTTTGCATCTGAGTTTTCTATATTAATAGCACCTGCATTTAGAGAACTTGTAACACACATTGGTTGACTTCGATATTGTAAAATATAGGCGTAGTTTTTTAAAAATATTTCTACCATATGAGAAAGGCGAATAAATACAAATTTTAGGTTGATGTGCTCGGGAAGAAACCATTTTTGTTTATCGATCTGCATGGTCATTCTAATAATTTTAATTTGTTTCTTTATGGAAATAATCCTGATAGCTCATGGCGTATTCTGGACCACTCGCTTCCAGGAAGAAATGATTTTATGTCGCTTCCATTACTTTTGCAGCAGGTATACTTATAGATGAATAGAAAAGGTATATTCGAAACTAATGGAATAAGTAAAAATACCATTTTTAATCATAAGCAGATTTACAGTTTGCAAACATTTTGCCAAATTTCTTGCATTTCATATAGCTTACTCTGCTGAGTGATGGAAAATTTTTTCATAGATGTGTGATTATTTTTCACTATCAAACTGTCGATTTAACATAACCAAAACCAAAGAATCATCGGCTCGTATAACACTGTGGAGGCAATTTGGCGTTACTCGATCGTATACCTTGGAATCTACTTACTGTGGTTTCAGTTGTGGTTCTCTAAAGGGTTACCAGGTTGGTATCTTAGTGTAAAGCTGTCTGAAATATCATTTCCCATGACAGGTTATTATTTTCTGTCTTATATAGAAATCATATTTTTTCCATATATAAGGTATGATCGTTTAATATTTAGAAAATGACCAAGTATTGATAGAGGATACATGCATTGATAATTTATGATTAAATTGAAATTATTTAGTGCAACATGGTGAAATTTGAGCTTTTTGACTATTCAATTATGTCATTATCAGTAGGGAAAAAAGAGGAGATTTAACAGATTCGTTTAACATGTTAAATTCAGTTCGAGTTTTTATATCTCATCCAACATGTATATCTTTTCTTTTTTACAGAATGTTGTTTGTGCTGTTTCCAGGTAAATATTGAACATCTGATGGAAATGGGTAGGCAGCTATGCATGACATTTAGCTATCTGAAGAACTATAGTCCTTCAATTCAGCGGGATGATGAGGATTCGGAGTAATTTCGAAATCTGATCAATATGGAAAACATGCAGATTATTCTGCTGCGTAGTTTATTGATTGTTTCTGAAAGTATACTTTGCTGAATACGTCATTGTGTCATGTTTAAATGACTCCTGGTTTGTTTAAATGACTCGTGATACCAAAAATAAGTTTGGAAAGTCTGAGTCCTTGTACTTCGTTTATCAAGTACACTTAAACAGACATCCTAATTTCCCGAACTAGGATGTAAAGGATTAATTCTCGAATAACAATTTTAATCGATCCATATGACTTTCTTTAAGCAAACTTACCCAATTTCAAGTTTAAGAAATTAGTTCCGCCTTGTTTTTGTTACGTAATGTTATTGTTTCGTGTGTTTAAAATTCAAAATTTCTCTAATCGTATTTGTTTTCCGTTCATTTGTCCATCTTCTTTCAATAATTATCACTGTTAAATTGGATTTCTCAATTCGCTTCGTCTTTCTAAATTGTGATTGAACTTCAAAATCGATTTTCTGTCGAAGATGATATGATTCAAATATTAATTTTGCTGTAAGTTAGAAACAAAATCAAAGAAATTTTTTGAGCAGTACTTATACAGCGGAAATTTTTAGAAGACTGCTCGCTTACTCGGTTAATGTTGTATCTATCGCATTTTAATTTTTTTAAGTAAGCGAGGCACTTAATTTGCTAAAATGCACTTCGAATTTATTTAGATGAATTATATTTCGTCTATTTATTTGTTACTTGTCTGTTTGTGAAGCTGTGTTGTACATTTGCTTGCTAGTCTTAATAGGTGTATATGTTCTGTTGTATTGGGGACAGTAGAATCTCTTCGAGAATCATAATTGCTGGTTTTATATTTTGGAGAAACAGTTACATCGACTTTGCATTTTCAAATATCTAGCTTAACTTAAAAGTTATGAAATAATCTATCTATTTTTTCGTTTTGTGTTAGAAACATATTTTATTTGAGGTCCTAGTATCGAAAACCTTTCGAAGTTGTTTTCATGTGGTTTTTAACGCAGCTGATTTGACGATAGTTATCACTGATGAAACTGTAGTTTTTAAATGTATAATTTAAAGACGATGTAACGGTTAAGGAAAACAAAGGGAAAGGTCATGAGGAAGTTTGCTGCTTCGTTGTGTTGAAATGGTTTGGCTATGAATGAAGAGAAATTGAAAGGTAGATGACATGTGATTGAAAATTTTTAATTTACATTAAAGTTTTCAAAAAAAATCAAATGAGTTATATAGCTGGCAGAGAAAAAACAAGATGGATCAATTCGAGAGACAAAACTTGGCTTCTTCCTTCCTCAAGGTCTGTTTAGTTAATTGATAATTACAATTTGTGCATTATCTCCTGTGTAATTATGAAAATAGCCAGATTAAACTTTAGTATACTTTCCATAATATTTGCAAGCCATATGGAAGTTAGTTGAAGAAATGCTGAGAATGTGAAAGAATAGCGGTTGGTTGCACATAGAAATCATTTGGTTTTCGAAGAAATGCGGGGATTTTGGCTTTCGGCCCATTTTTCTATGCTAGATGTTCAAGATTGTTTGAAGAGCTTTAAAAAGGATTATAAGTCGACATATGGCGAATTTACGGTAGTCATTATTACCCCTCTACAGGTAGCATGTCCCATCAATAAATTTCCTATTCTCGTTTCGGCTTCAATCTTTCATGTGAAATCCAATAATTTGAGTTTAAAACAAAAGTGATACACGGGAAGCATATCATCGCTTTCAAAATCGTTCCGTACAAGGTAATTTCACATTTCCTGCTGATATCCTTAGTATCGTTCATTTCTCTCAGCTGGAATTAACTGCAATTTTTATAAATCATGGAAGAAATTGAATGAGATATCTAACGAGTAGATAAAAACAAAATGAATCAATTCGAGAAGGAAATTTGATCTTCTTCCTCAAGATCTGTTTAGTTAATTGGTTATTATAACAATTTGTTCATTATCATCCCGCATAATCATGAGAATAGACAAATTAAACTTTAGCCTACTTCCGACAATAATTGTTAGCATGTGGTTGACAAATGTGTCCAGACCAGGTTTTTAGCGTTGACTGATTTCAGAATTATCAGGAAAAAAAGAAAACAGTCTTGGCTAGCATTTTTTGAAAGATATGCTTAAGGCCTGAATTTTTCTTCCAACCCTACCAAATTCACCAAAATTATAAGTTTTACCACTGTCTGAACTGTTCATCTTGTTGATAAAGCATCTTTCAAGAATTAATTTATTAATTTCTTCGAATTAAAAATATTCATTGCCACTTGAAAGATATTGGATAAGCCTTAAAATTCTGTTGAAATGATTCTCAATCTCATTGAATTCATAAAAGTTTTTTTCCCAAATTTATCCTCATTTTTAATTAATAATAATGTTGAGTCATTGCTATTTGTTAAACATTTTTCTAATATTGTTCATTTATAACAATTGCTTCCAATCAACAAAACAATAAGTTTATACTTCTTTACTTGTTTGTTGTTTACTTATTAAATTGGTACTCAATTATTTGCTTTTCATTTACTTTTTATGTTTATATTTAAAAAATAACCAAAATTAATTTGAGCTTATTACAATGAAAAGGAAAAAAATTTCAAATACAAGAGAAGTATAATGGAAGCAGTGATGATGAATGATACTGTAATAGTTCATGAAAGGGTAGAAGACCTTATTGTCATCAAAATTTCTATATTCCATCCACCAGTTCTCCTTTACTATCTTCCTTTCATCCATGAATCCATTAAGAACCAGCAACAATCCATTTTAACAGGTATGATGATGATGGCATTTTTCCCTTCCTACCTCCTTGATTTCCATACTATTTTGATACCATGGTACTAATTGATAATGCACAGCAATATGCCGCAAACTGAGGTGAACAATTTGACGAAATGCTCCTCTCTAAAGCATATCGTCGAAAGCGATAATTGGATTAGCGTTTTCCTAAATGGTTCTTTTCTGTGACATCGTTCTCCTCTATCCGAACCAATAGGATATTCTGTCTCCGCCTCTCGGCCTCTACCGTACCCAGGGAATGCTGTGACAGTTGTCGTCGTCTGGATAGCAATCAGGATGATTATGGTTGCTAAATGATGGATGAGCTGTGCGGTAGTAGTGCTCTATTAACCAGTACAAGTCATCATCATCATCATCATCATCATCACTCTATTAGCTCACTGATACAACGAAATGGTCGGTTATTTTTTACACAAATGCTTTTCATGTGATTCCATTTGACTCCGTTGCTACGGTCAGTATGACCAATTATCAGATAGCCTGCATAAATTTTTGTATAAATATAGAAATGAACTAAATCAAAGTTCAAATTTAAATTTTCAACCAAAATTTGACAGGTTTTGAAGCGTAAGTATTCATATGTTGAGAGCATACTGAATGTTTGACATGAAAATCTTAAGAGTGTAAGTGTAGTAAAGGTTAGCTATAAAATCCTGCCCTCAAAAGGGTAATTTTAGAAATACAGCATGGACACGTAAAAATTCCGGATTTAACAACTTCTCCAGTAGTATCGGAAACTAATCAACAACATGGTGACGGGAATAAACGTCGGGATAGGTTAACTTTTTTTCCTAATTTTTTCTGATACAGTGGAAAAAAATTTTTCTGAAGTCTCCAAAATTTTATATAGTTAAAAAATCTTGACAACCTGTGCTTTCTATATAAATAAAGAAATGAATAAAATCCAAGTTTAAATTTAAACTTTCTATTAGAATTCAAGCTTTAAGAATTGCTGATCTCTTTTGTCCATTGATAATTAGTTCACTTTTTTCGATTGTAAATATACTACCAGCTAATTTCCTTCCAGCATATCTTTATCAATATACCGTTCTTTTTCACTTATTTTCATTGACAACTACTTTCCCTCTTTTAATCATCCATCAGTTCTTCCATTTTCTGAACATTCTTACTTCCAATCATTAATATCATTGTCTTTTCAATTATCTTATATATTATAACAAAAGTACGGTAAATAAGGGTAAGAGTAAGAATAAGTTAGCTGTAATCATCAAAACATATCTAAAAACCATCAAGTCTGAAAATCAATCTTAAAAAATATATCCTAATTCAACGATCCATAAGACTTATATATAGTGAAATGTGACAAATTTATTGTATAGGGAGTTTTTTCGTCAAATTTTGTTCATTTCAAGAAAGAAATGAAATGTTCAGACATTATTTAATGACAGTATTTATGGTCTTAAAAGAGAACTTCCCGAAGAAATATGGGATAGTAACAGTTTTCTTATTGGAAAGAGAGAGGGAGAGAGAGATGTTATTTCAGAGAATCGAAGAAACAGAGACGGAACAGGACCACATTCACAACATTTCAGCTTCATGAGTTGGAACAAGCTTTCGAAAGGTGCCATTATCCCGATGTTTATGCTAGGGAGGTATGTTGTTAGAAGAAATTTGAAAGTACTTGTTTTTATTCTGTTGAGGATTTAATTTAATTGAAATTCGATTTATACTTGAATTGCTAAGTTCATTATAGCCTTTCAATCGACATCGATTTCTGCAGCTTTGACAAATGATTTCCCGAATGATTTTTCAAAAATTAGATATAAATTTCCAATTATATCTGTCTCTATTCTGAAATGAAAATATTTCAGCTTAAAGCATGACAAAGCCATTAGCAAGCAATCATTCAAATATGTTTCATTTTTTTTTCTTTTTTTTAGCGACATTTCATTAATTCACATTTTATACTAAAGCCATCTTTTATTTTCAGCTATTGGCTCAAAAAGTGAAACTTCCTGAAGTTCGTGTCCAGGTTTACTATTCACTTCTCACCTTACATTTTATTCTAGCCTCAACAGTTCAATTCACTGCACACATTTCTGTTTATCTCGAATCTCATTTCTTACAATTCTTAAGGACGTATAAGTTTATCGATGTCTAATAGTTTCATATAAAATAGGAACAAATACAAAGTTTGAGGAGGAAATGCATCAGGTTTTTAAAACATTGTACCTAAAACTTCGTATCAATTAAATGTTATATTGTGGTGCCTCTAGAATTCAGAAACTTCTTGACTTCAGCAGCTTTGAAAGTTTTCACCTTCGTTTTGAATTTGAAGGATAACTGAAATAGTCAAATAAAACTGGTCTATCTTTATGAAAACCAGACTTTTGTGGTCATCAGACGACGACATGTATGACCTTCCAGAAGAAGGGTAATCTTCTTGACTTGTTTCGGCTCATTAATTAGCCTTCGAGGAGTGGTTGTGAGAGAGTACCAAATAATCTCAAATTTCATCCCTTCAAACTGTCAGCTCTAATTGTCATTTCCTTCTTCATCCCATCTCTTCCATATAACAAAACAATGACATAATGACAAATCTCTTCAAGCTTCTCCGACTTCTTGCCTGTTAATTCCCATTAAGAGCGATCGCTAATCCGAATTACTGATAAATTCCCAAAAATTATATCCACGAACAAAAAATGTCTATTGAGTTGACAATTGTTTTGAGTATACCAATAGTGGGAAAGATTTGTTGAAGGGTACACTATTGAGAAATATTAAATAATTTTTCAGCAATTAGCAGTAATTAATTTGTAGCATCAAATTTGTCCAAGGATGCATATCTATTCAGTGTAATACACATTTTGGCACTAGTACTATTTTACAGAAATAAATGTGGTTTCTGATAAACAAAGATATTCATAATCAATAATCAAATATTTTGATTAAACAGATGGTTGATTCAAACATCAATAGAACAATACGTATTATGAGAATTGAAAACTGAAAGTGGAATTAAATAGACATTAACAATTGAACTAGAAATTAATGAATGGATTTTCATGTTAATTGATTAGTATACAAAATGTGCAATTAATCAAATAAATGTTTTTAGGTATGGTTCCAAAATCGACGTGCCAAATGGCGTCGTCAAGATAAGGCAGAAAGTAGTGCAATTGCTGATTTGCCGCCTGTGCGGCATAGCACGCCAGGAATACCGTCATGGGCATGGATGACTCATCCGGATGATTTTTCTGGTCTAATGCATCCATTCGTTCCGCAATCAAATGGTTTGCCGGGCCCAGACATGGTCATTTTCTTGTTTCCTTGCTGTTTAACTTATTGTTTACTTTGTTCTGTTTATTATTTATTTTACTCCGAAACTTCAGACATTTCATTTCACATAAATGTATGTATTATATTCAGCAAACCGGCTAGTTAATACTTAGGATTTTATCTCTTGTTTTTCGCCAGATTCATAGGCATAATTTTCATCTTTCAAGTTCACTACTTTTTAGTTTTTGATTTACTTCAATTTTAGGCCGAATTTTATTAGCGTATTAAACAATTTTTATCTTAAAACTTTTTAGACGCAAATTTTTGGCTTGTAATTTATCTTCGTGAGTTTTGAAGTTATTTTTATCCTAGAAAGTTAAACATGTTTCTAAAGTTGAAGATCTGACCTTTGTTTTTTCTAATTTGACCTTGATTCAACTTAACTTTTTTTCCTTATCCATTTGTTCGACATGATTTATAATGAAAGAATGCTATAATCACTACCTCAATCTATAAATATAACTCATTCATTTTTCTAGGTTATGAAAGCATCTTCACCTTTCTGTTTCGGATACTTATCAACGGCGACACCTACGACAAATACGTATGCAGGCGTTACAGGTTCAGGAGTTGGTAGCGCACCAACGTTTCCTGACATTGATCTACAAGGGGGAGTCCATAATGAGCAGAAGAATATCTATACTAGTAATATGATTGTCTAATATAAATGTATAAATTAATAAATAGTTTGCTATGAAAGGCGGAAATTTTAAACTTCGAAAGTTTCATTCAAAGGTTTGTTTTCTTATCTCCTTCGGTTTATTTTGTGAAATTTCAGAATTTAAGCAAAATATATGAAAACGAAATTTCACGACAAATATTTTTCGCAAACTATTCATTTGTCAACGCCAACTTTCTCTTGAAAATAACTGAAGATTTATGGAAATGATATAAATCAACATAAATTGTGTTTTGAAGTGGTACAAATGAATTTTAAAGTAATACAAATAAATAAATTTTAAATAAATTTTGAAGTGATAGAAATCAACATTCTGATTTGTCATCAATAAAGATTTTTTCGGTATGTTTGTGTGATGTAAACTGCTAGGAAGGGAAAACACTGAAATTAATGAAATCTGATTAAATAATTTGTCCATTTATTAATTATCGGCTGTTGAATATCAAATAGTCACTAATTAATTGTAAGTAATTCGAACACTAAATAGAAGTAAGGATACTTATCATAAGTTATATATATATATATATATATATATATGCATATACAATCTACAGTCAAATCATTTGTATTAACTTCGACGACCCGGTAATTAAAATTTGCTTAATTTCTTAACTGAATTCCGGTGTATCGAAGAGAAAAGTGTAAATTGCAACGGAATTGCTCATTCCGGAATTTGCCGCAAATCTGGTCTTTCATGTCAGTTTTATTTTTAGATTTAAATTTTCCAAACTAAATAAGACAGTGAAATGCGGATGAATAACTGGGAAAAAAATGAAACAAACAAGGAAATAACAGAGCCGAAATCTATAAAAATTTCACCGTTCACTGGCATATTGCATTCAGTTAATGTTTTTAGTCTTGTTATCATCTCTCATGATTGATAATTTCTATAACGATGCTAATAACATGTTTACTTGATCCTTCCACACATACTTATCTTTGTTTATCTTTAACGTCGTAGAATCATCAAGTGCCTTCATACTTTTCTGTTAATAATCAGTTGTACCTCTCACAACATATCATCTCATAAGCTGTCTTTGATGTCCTGTCACAAGTACTAAAACCACTCTCCTGAAAATTTCGTGTCACAATTCAAAAATTTCTCCTTTTTTTAGAATATGATAGTCTAAGTTTAGCACAAGGCATAAACCATGTTCATAATCACGGGTTTATTTATAAAGTAAAAAAAAAAAAAAAAATGAATACGGCGCTTGATCCCATATCTCTCAACAGGTTGTCATCATTGCATCCCACAGGATTCGCAACAAATCTAGGTAGCCTTATTAACCAACTAATTTGGTTGCTTATTAGTCATTGCAAAATTACTTATTCATTAATTAATTTTTGTATTGAATTAACTACTTGAAGTGTTAGCAATGCAACCATCACTCTTAACCAATGAATTAAATCCAATAAAGTTAATTTCTATTTCATTTTTCATGACATAAAAAAAAACTTAAATGAAATAAAGAACAATTTTTTATAGTTTTATATTAATGATCAATTTGTTAGAGAAAAAAAGACCAATGTTTTTTTTGAATTAACACTTTGAAAAGTTCGGTTTTTAGTAAGAATACTGCATTTTTCGAATTTACTGTGTAAAATTTTATGAAAGTTTCTCTTATTTTACAGCAAAAATACAACTTTAGCATAATAAACTGAATTGTAAAGGAAAATTTTGAAATTTTGAGGCATAATAATAATAAGAAATGTTGAAGACATTGGAATGTTTGCAACCAAAACCTGGTAATAGAAGTTAATTAATTACAATCAAATGAGGAACAGGCTGTACTACTTAACAAGCCGATAAAAATGCATGAACGGAGTGATCCACAATATGAATGTCAGGAATTGTATACCAATCAGTAGTAATACGCGTTATCATTGAACAGATAACGATATCAAATCAACAGAATATACGATGTTTGACTATAGGAAGGATGAAAGTTTGCTCTTGTCATTCTTATGTTTAATGCAGTATTTCACGAATTTCATACTAAGTGCCATATTTTCAGGTGTTACTCTTGCTTTTCCTCTCTATTACTTCATTTCTATTTATTATCAAAATGAATTTAGAGCATAGCAAAATTGATTTTCACTTTCACAGTATGCAACATCACTTTATTACTTCAACTGATCTGGTCATCAATCTTAACAATACTCATTGAATTTGTGCGATAGATTATTTGAGTTATGAGTGATATGATTTTGTTTTGTTGTTGCTTACATTTGATAAGTTTAAAGTGGAACACTGTAAATCTGTGGAGAAATGTGGCAGGAAATTTTTTTGTAAAATTCGGATTTCAATAATATTTAAAGTAAATCACATAAAAGGTAATAATAGAAGACCAGTACTGTGCAATTGTGGCAGCACGCCGCATCTAATCAGTATAGCAATATCAGTTATCTTATCAAGAACTTTAGAAATACCGTAACTATGACGATTTTGCACACCCGAGGGAAAGGTATGTCTGTCAACTGTCTTCATCTTTCGTATTTTATTTACTCATATCCTGGAGATGTCTTGTTGCTCCATCTATATGACAGGAATCTTTTTATTTCGAGAATTCTATCCTTCCTGATCCACCTTTGAAATAAATCTTAAAATTAATCATTCACAACATGTCGTCATAATTAGTGCTAAATTCTATGATATTCATAGAGGTGTCTCACAAATTTGACGATCTTTCAATGTTCATAAATGGATTAACAATATGCTCAACAATTGCCACAAACGATTTTATCGGAAATGAAAGCTTTGATACTTTCCCAAGGAACACATCATTTTCTTTGCATTTATTTTGCTGCAGTCATTAAGTTGCTTACTGGAGCGCTTCACGATGTCTCAGGTGATTTGCATTTAATAATTTACGAAAGCAATGATTTTAAAGTTATTTAAAGTTATTTAAAGTTAAAGATATTATAATAATATGTAATATTGATGGTTAGAAATCAAGAAAATTGTTCTAACGACTACAGTGTTGCAAGTAAATTTCAAAAAACCTTAAGAACCATATTTTAAATCACTAGTAAGTTACACATATTATTATAATTAATCTTTTAAAATCTATTCAGAATTAAAGAATTAGGCTAGTTATCAATATAGCTTAAAATAAAGATTAACAGTTATGTGCCGAAATGTCAAATTAATTGTATCCCACCCATAACAGCCTAAAATAACAACAATTCGAAAGTGTTTCAGAAAAGAAAGACCATGCAATAAAAGGGAAAATATTTGAATGATATCTCTTCATCGATCGTCTGAGTGTTTTAAAAAATATTGTGAGTACTTATTAAAAAGTATATAAACACACCCTAAAAGTTATGTTAATAAAACATTTTAAACTACCAAACCACTTCGCCCCAAATCTGTTCCCTAACTTTCATTTTAGTGAGCCTATCAGATAAAACGATTTACATAACTTTTAATAGAACAGATTTGCCAATATTGGGAAGCAAATGTACCCCGGATAAGGTTGAAATTCTCTGAGAAGCCGTTCACTTAACTTGTAATCGATTCTCCAATGATTCTCCAATGTATTGGCAAAATTAAAGCCCAA